TCAAGTCCCGCCCAAGGTGGTGACTGCAGAAAACGGAGCTGCTTGGCTTGCATGTTTTGAGCAGTGCTGTTCTTCTTAAGCTCGAGTCAGGACTCCCAGAACCATATATGAGAGAGACAGAGAGATATGTATATATATATATATATGTATATATTGCGGCTCCTAATGAACGTTGGTGTGTGTGTACATATTGTTTGTGTTGGGTTTGATTGTTGGTCAGTTTCTCCCAGACGGGTTCACTCCTGGACGGAGGTTGGACTTGTCTTCGAGAATGGCTTTGGAGGTGCGCACATCCTCTATCGCCCACAGTTAGAGGAACTCCTGGGCGGCAGCCAGCAGCCAGGATGCAAGTAGCTCTGCAGCCCGGAATTGCCCTGACGGTGATGCTGACGGTGGCGGTGATGGAGCACATGAACAAGGCACAGACGTGGTGATGAGTTTCTACATCATGAGACTACTCTGTACTACGGTATCCATGTAGCATGCCGGCAACATTATTTTTATGTGTTCCTGACACCAACACATATTCCTGTGGCGACGCTGCAATTGCTGCACCTTTCGTTTGTGCTGTAGTTTGCACCAAGCGTCCCATGTCATGAGTCAAATGAGCACAATTTCGCTTCTATGGTGACATGGGTTTTCCATGTTTGCTCTCTCTCTCTCTCTCTCTCTTTCTTCCTCTATCTATCTCTCGCTCTCTATCTCTATCTTTGCCCTGCTCCTTGCTCTTGTCATGTCCATGCTGATCATGACTGTTGTCCGAATTGCCGTCTCGCCTTGAAGCTGCCTCTGCTGCTGGTGTTGTTACCATTGCTGTTCAAGCCTCTGATATCGATTTATGTAGGATTTAGGGTTTATGGGGTTTGGTTTTGCTGGAGCTGTTGCTGTTGCTGCTGTTGTGGTTGGGGTTATGGTGGTAGCGGTGGTGGTGATAGCAGAGCTGCTACTACTGCTGGTGCTGATGGTGCGCGTGTCATTATCGTTGTCATGTGAATGCTTGGTATGAGCAGAGCCGAAAGACATGGCTTGGGTTCAGCTGAGCTGGCATCTGAGGCAGTTGGACGGGTTATCCTTTGTGTTTATCAACGGATGCTCTTCAGAATCTTGCCTGCAAGTCCGAAGGCGGGCCCTTACAAGCTTGGCCTCAGCCGTGAGCCTTCAACCTTTGATCGTATCCTGAGGAGAGTATAGCGGAGCTCTTGGTGGAAGCTGGATGTCACCTGGTCATCGCCACGCGAGGCGGCATGATGATGCGTGTCCGTCTATTGCATGTCCATCCAGGAAGTATACTGAAGGATGCGTTCCGGTAAGTAACACTTCAGAATTTGTCTGCACGAGGCAAAGTGTACGATGCGGCAGCCCGGGTCTTAGTTACCAACTGTGTCGGATGATGAAATCTAGACAGACGCATGCCGTTGCCGCCATGCTCGTGTAGGGATTCTTGGTGATCGAAACTTTCTTTGAAGACTTGGGTTTCGACTCGCTCTTTCATTAGTTGTGCGGGTTGAGCTGCCATGGCTGCAAATCACCTATACTCTCAATTGTAGTTCCTTGTTTTTTGGGGAGTTACCTGATAGGTTCCTACATGTAAAAACTCTTAAACCCAAAAAAGAAACTACCATAAAGACGATGCGTAGGTTTACTACTGCTTCGCAGGAGCAGGAGCCTGCCTTGAGCTTTGGGGATTTTGCAAGTCGGCCTTTGGGTTGCCCGGGCGATGGTTGGGGGTAGCGACTTCGGATTTTCGGGTTTTGGGTTTTAGGGTGGGCTTAGGGATTTCGGGTTCAGGGTCAGGAGGTCGGATCTTCGGGTTTCAGGTTTGAAGGTGATCTTAAGGGTTTATAGGGGTTCAGGGCCAGGAGGCCAGGATTGTGATCAAAACCCAAAAAGCCATCAACGGGGACTCTGCTTGGACTTCTCAAGGGTGGATGAAAGCCCGCTTCTACCCGAGAGATAAGGTTGCAATGACTGAAGACCTTAGGCCGTGCTAAGCCCCTAAACCCGGTATCCTTGCAGCCGTTAAACCCCTCACAACGCGAAGTTCTAGAAGCCACAACATACACTGAATTACAGTACAAATTACCCGACATGCCTATTCAAATTGTACTAGTTTAACAGTAGGAACCACAAAGCCCTAGACGTCTAAACCGTTCGCCTTGGTCAACCTCACCACCCTAAACCTCCCACCCGAAGCCTCGACACCTATAAACCCTAGTGACTGAATCCTGCATCTCTGAACGCTAGGCCTTAAATAAGAAGCCCTGTACCCGAAATCCTAAACGTCCCAGACTCAGCTTTAAACCCCTGATCTCCTGCAAGAAGAGGGGAAGCTGAGACCTAGGCCACGGTTTTCACCCAGCAGCGCCTCGGATGACCGCTTGGCATGGACTGGGATCTTAGTAGGGTGTCAAAAAGAAGGCTTTATCCATGCTATAGAGCTTGATAGCAGGGCCTTATGAAGATCTGTGCAGAATCTTGTCGTTTGTTTAAGAGTGCCTGAAAACGGTGTTTCGGGGTTCTATGTGGGATGATTAATGTTTAGCCGTGCCGTGGGCTTCGGGGGATTGGGGCTTTTGAAGGTTTTGGGCCGGGTTTGCAGTTTCCGAGTTTTGAGTCTCGCCATACAACTTCCGGCCGGCCGCGACTGTTGCAGGGAAACGGTTGCGATTACAGGCAGGCCAAAGAAGAATCAAATGTCTATGGAACAATTGATCGGCTCAGCTCGAAGATGGTAATTACTCGAGCTAAACGTTTGCGTGGTGACCCCTGGTCTCGTTCCGGCTAGCCTAGTAACTTGCTAGCCCTGTAACTGTACCAGCACCAGGAAGGTCTGGGAGTGCAGAAAGACGGCTGGAGTTGTGCTATGTTGTTGCACTATGTTGGGGTGTTGGAGTTTAGGCATTTGGCTTTTGAGGTTGAGTTGGGGTCGCAGAGTCCGCAAGTTCAGTGAGCGACTCCCAAGGGACCGTAACCCAAAACCCGAAACCCTAAATCTGGGGACTTCACTTCTCGTTACGACTAGTTGCACCCTATGAGGAGCAGGCCAAGAGCGGAGGGTATGGCATGAAGAACAACAGCAGATACACAAGTACGTTGGTGTATAGAAGGGCAGCTGAACGAGAAAAACTATAACCGCAGGCCTAGAATACAGGCCCATGTGTGTATGTGTCCTCATTCTTTTTGCTTCATACTGTAGAATGTACATATATAGATAGATAGATATATGTGTATGTATATGTATATGCATCTGTATACGTATATGTATATGTATATGTATATGTGTATGTACGTACGTACGTACGTACGTACGTACGTACGTATGTATGTATGTATGTATGTATGTATGTACGTATGTGTGTATGTATGTGTGTGCACACATGTATACAGACACATGTGTATATGTATATATATATATACATGTATAGATAAATACATACTTACGTACATACATATGTATCTATATATATATATATATATACCGTTATGTTTGCAACTGTATGCACATGCATGGGTTTTTGCAAGTATTTGCAAGTATCTAACGAATCGAACGTGTATGTACATACATACATGCGCTTGCATGGGCACACTCACACAGAAATATGTATTGATAGGCCGAGCACGCCGACAGAGGAACCTGTCCTCATCTGGCCACTGAGGTTTTACTACGCGCTGGGGTCCCATGTTTCCGTGCGCTCTGCATTTGAGAGCGCCTTAGGCATTATTATTATTCAAATTCATGAAGGCCGCGTTGGGCCTTGAAGTTCTTGAGGCTTTAGTCTTAGGGCTTTACCGCTTTGGTGCTTAGGATTTCCAGTTCAGTGCTCAGGTGTTGAAGGCTTTGCGGTTGTGGGTTTTGGGCAGCATGAGTCTCAGAAACCACAGTCGGGCCATCGCTGGATTGCGAAAGCTGTGAACCTCAAGGTTCATGCCTTAGGCTTCTCAAAGAGAATCTACTACAGAGTTCGGAACAGTTTATAATGATCATAGCCCCTTCTTGGCCCCAGTGTAAGTATAGCACCATTTGCCACAGGACCTTTATAGAAAGTCTTATGGCCTAGAAAGTGGCTCTATCCCAAAAAGCCTTAAGGCTCATATAGTAGCTCTATCCCCCAACAAAGCCTGAGGCGCTCAGCAAGTGCTGCGGGTCGATCCCGATCCAAAGGCCAGCGCAGGACTTGGATTCCTTAGCATGTTAGGGGTCTGAAAATACTCATAGCTTCCTGATGTAACTAAGAGCTTTAATATTCATAGCTTCCGGTTATAACTAAGAGCTTTAATATTCATAGCTTCCGGTTATAACTAAGAGCTTCAATATTCATAGCTTCCGGTTATAACTAAGAGCTATACAACAAAACATCAAGTATTGTTCTACAATATAGCAAATCCCGAAGCTTTTTCTAACTCCAGAGTTTCATATACTGGCTGGACGTATCCTCCTTCCAACCCACCCCCCGAACCGGTTTTAGGTGGGTGTTGCTTCGGGAATTGCAATGAGTACGAGAACTTTGGGACTCTGTTGACTGCTCCCTAGGAGTGAGGGGGTGACTATTGCAATTTTGTGTTTGGCCATAAGCACATCCGGTACCGAACCCCCAACTCCTGAAGCTAAGCTACTTCATATTGGCAACTCCGGTACCGAATGCCAAATTCCTACATGTTGACTGTGTAACCTGCACATGCACAGCAAGCAGGTGAAAGCCAGCGCAGCTCCTTACTTGCAAATGTGGGAAGGCTGCTTCCTTGTTGTACTTGTATTTGTCAGTAGTGTTAGTACTACTATCAGGCTTACGAGCAACATTGCTAACGCGTTACAATGCATCTATGCTTGAGTAAGCAAATATGCGCACACACACACACCTGATATTATATATATATATATATGTGATATATATACATATATATATATAAATACAGGGCTAGTTATTTTAAGAGCAACGATGGGCTGTTCTGCTAGGCAGATCTAAGGACAGAGATTGGCTGTAGACTGGGCAGCTGAGGACATGTTTGTGCTGTTTGGCCAGCGTGCTGCTCGTTCTCAAATGCTGCCTCGACCAGCGAATGTTGGTAGTGGCACAGACGGCCGCTTGCCTGCACTCGGGTTTGCAAGCTGTTTCGTTTTGTCCACATGTATCTTGCAGTCTGCTTGGGTAGCACACAGAACTCGCTAATTTCTCCCACTATACACGTCCTGTAGCCGCCGAAGAACCTCCCCGCAGTCTCCTAGTCCTACTGTAGGAGTTGCTTTCGCGGTCTCACGGGGAATGCAAGTGACCCTAAACCCAAAACCCTACTAAACCCTAAACCCTACAAAACCCTAATCCCTACAGCCTCCCCTCGCCAGGCCAGGTGAGCCTTCCGATAGAGAGCCACAGCCACAGTCTCGGCAGTGCCGACGCACCGCAGCTGCAAGATGAACCCAAGCTCCCTTTTGCCACAAGCTGACTTTTTACTACTACTAGTACTAGTACTAGTACTAGTACTAGTACTAGTACTACTACTACTACTACTACTACTACTGCTACTACTACTACTACTACTACTACTACTACTACCACTGCGACGACGACTACAACCACTACCAT